ATTAGCAAGCCACGACGTCCCATTCCCCAGTACCAATCGGTGCCGCCAAATGTGGTGTCGGAAAAGCACATGAAGAAGTTGTACTTTGCAGAACCTCCAAAATTTAAATTATCTCGCCGCGCGACCGCCGCGCAACAGACCCGTACGTTGTCTACCTACGTAGAGTGTACGGCTTACGTTGTCGGTGCTTCTGTGCGTCTTGTGTCGCCGCTCCTGGCTGAGTACATGTCAGCATTCTGCCATACTCCACTGGTGGAGTCTACTTCTGAAAGGCTAATAGACGTCATGTTACATCTGGTCTATAGCATGTAGTAGACTAGTAGAGCTGTCGCTGCTGTGCTGGACGTGGTCTTGTTTCGCCTTGAGCTACGGGATTGAGCGAACACGCAAGACACGTGTGTTTGTGTTCATTTATTCTGTCTAACTATCCTTACTCAACTCCGGCTATTATGTGCTACAGAACCGGCCCGCACTTAAGAACCTCTTATTTGGAGCGAGGCTCGCTTCTTGTTGGCTGCCCCAAGCCGAGCACAAGTTCTTATTTGCCAGGTTCTTATTTCGTCGTCCAGTTGTCTCCAGAAACGGTGTTCTTGTTCTTATTTCATCATCGATTGCTCAATTGGTGCACTACTCAACTGCACTCGACGCAGAGTTTCATACCCGCAAACACCCCCCCATGGGGCAACTGTCAACCGTCTTGGTCCACAAGAGTGACGTTGGGGGTGCGTACCCTTCCCGCCCTACTGACGCTCTCAAGCAAAACCCATGAGCCTACCGCCGCGTCCGGATCTCCGCTGTACTTGTCTAAGGGCAGCTTCATATTGCGCGTACTGTGGTCTACTTCCAGCTGCACACAGTAGTCGTACAGGTGGCGCTGCGGAGATTGCTGAATGATCAACCCACCGAACCACCCCATGCCCAGCCGAACAAACACTCCACGTTGCAAAAGCAATCTGTCAAGAGCAGCGGGGGTAGATTCTTGAAGGCGAAAGCCCGCCGGGATCTCCATTCCCTGCGTCTCGTCCTCCGGGTCGTCTGGGTCCATGCTGTCGTCCTCGTCCAAAAGAGCTAGCTCGTCGGTCTGGGATTGAGACATGTCTGCGACGAAGGGTACCGTGAAACAAGAGAAGGAACGTACGGGTGTCATCGCCGTTACTTAACTGAAGTGAACACACCATTTGTTCGTAGACGTGACGCGGAAACAGAATATCAGCAATATCCCAAACAGCACAAGAAAAGATGAACAAAAAGGACAATGAATTAACTGTAGTCTATGTAGTGCCAATCAAACTTACTGTCGTCGTCTTCATCGCTGTATCCAGCGCCCTCCATGCCCTCCCCGCTGTTGGCACCGTTGCGCTCATCCCCGACGACCGGCTCGCGCCTTCCGGCGCCCTCCTCCTCCCGCCCCTCGGGCCCATCGCTGCCGTCCTCCGAACCTCCTTCGTTCTCGCTGGAGTCTTCATCGTTTGCGAAGGTGTACGGCTGGTCCAAACCCTCCAAGGTGATTCGATCATCGCCTGAGCCGTCCACGGTCATCGCCATCCCGCACTTTTCGAAAAGGCGGTGTCGGTACCCCTGATTGCTGTTGAGTTTTGCCATGGCCGCTCCCGTCCATTGAGTGATCAGTACGCGCCGGTCAGATGCTGTCAGCGACGCGGTTTCCCACCTCTCGATGTTGTCCGACTGATCGAGCCACTTGTCCATCTCGTTACCAACTTCCACCTTGAGAAATCGTCCGGCTCCTGCATCAACTGGCTGCACCTCGTCCGTGCACTCCGCAGGGCCAAGCCAGGCGATAGTGTTGCACTGCTTCGCAAGATACCCCTTGAACTCGTCCGTGGTCTGCGCGTGCAAGTTGTCCATTATCAGAATGGACCTCGCCTTGGGGAGCTCACCCCGCCCGCGGATCAGGCCTTCGCGGTACGACCTCTTGGCCCACTCCATGCAGAACTTTTGGTCCGCCCACGCATTCTCCTGGAAAAACACGTCCACGTCCTTGTGGTACGCGGCTTTCTCCACCGGCGAAATCCGCTTCCCCTGGCCTCGGAAAATCACCGAAATCCGCATAGTCTTCTCACCCGGACCAAAGATGACTTGCATGGTGCACTGCCTTTTCTCTAGGCCAGCAAAGGGCTGCGAGATGGCTACACGCAACGCGCCTGTCTTCTCCCACGTGCTGATCAGCCCGTTCACGAATGGCAAAGGCACTTGATCCACATTCCAACGCTCCCAGAGCTGGAACTGACCGTACTTGGGATCTCTGGACTCTCCCTCCGCGACCGTCGACATCGCCGACACGTCCGATGCCTCGGGTGCCCTGTACCGTACCGGCTCTTGCAGGAGCTTGCGAAACCGCCGGTGGAAGCGCTGGATCTTTGGTAGGCGCTCTTCAACAGACTTGTTCTTGAGGTTGCTCCTGCGCCGTTTGGACAGCTTATGCCTCTTTGCCCATTTTCGTGCCCACCTGAAGGACGCGCTGAACGCCGCCGCCCGTTGGTCCTCAGGGTGATTCTCTTGCACGAGCTTCCGGAACGTGACCGTCAGCCACAGGGTCGACACCTTCAGCTTCCTCCTCCGCCGCGCCAAGAACATATTGTACAGCTTCTTCTCTTCCTCAGGAAACCACCGCTTTGGCTGCTGTTTGGCAAGGAGGGTCTTCTTCACGTCATCTGCTGCCGATTGGACTATATTGGCCTCGTCCTGAGCCCACTTCACGATCAGGCTGTAGTTAACCTTGAGACGGTCCTCTAAGTACTGGAGAGGCGTGAGCTGCTCCTCCTTGAAGAGGTCTGCGGCGTCTTCCTGGAGGAGGCGCAGCTGGGTCACAACATGGGCTTTGAACCTGAAATCGTATCGCTTGCGCTTCACAGCTCCACGAGTCTCCTTGACTTTGCGGTCCGTAAAGCCGTCGCTTTCCAAGTCGAGATCGCGGAAGCGCTTCCGTTGGAGGACGAACGAAGCCGCCCCCGTCGCACCATCGACCTTCACGTGCCAACAACGTCCAGGCCCGGCTTCTCCCCACGGCTGAACATACCCTTTGGGAGTCTTCCCTAGCATCCGCTGCAGCCGCAAGCCGTTGGACATGTTTGCATTGCTGTGCTGTGTTTTCACGTGGATCCCAAGTCCTTGCTCGTTCACGAAGGTCATGGGACAGTGAGGGCACGGTATGCGCCGCTCCGGGGCCGGAGGTGGGAAGTTGATACCGGACACATGCTCTGTGACACCACCGCGAGTCCGCTCAATCTGCACGGCGCGGTAGGAGAAGGGCGGAATTGAGGTGCAGGTGATTCAACGAGCTGTGGACCTGAAATTGCGTGGATGTCGATGGCAAAATATATCTATCTATGCAGATGGGGCGGGGGATGATTACATGACCGTCTCTCGTGTGTTTGGATCACGGTGCAGCAAAATAAAATTTACAAAATACGGTTGGGACGCCGCTCGTGGACGCGTTCTTTTTCGCCATTGTGTCTACTGTACCGTCCTTGTCTTCCTCAAGAACTTGAGGCAAACGGAGAATGTTTGGAAAAGTTGTACACATACATGTACGCCATGCTGAAAGTCAGTCGTTTATACCAACCTGTGACAGAGTAGTTTTTCTCTCGTCTTTTTCATTTCATCACCACCGCGTTTTTTTTTAAACAACAGCAGCAGCAGTAGCACTCCTGCTGTATTTACACTACATACAGCTGCTGGACCGCCGTACGACTGCTGTATATATGTACATCATCACAGCAACAGAGTTCGTCAGATGACTGAACTCACCGGTTTTCCGCTGCCACGAGCGAACGCGTTGATGATGTTGCCACCTAGAACACCTTGGGCAGCTCGATCCCTGGCTTGCTTCCCCCGATCTGCGACCTTTCTCTTCCCGGCAGCCGCAGCAGTAGCAGGCGGTGGGTGCGAAGACGGTGCACCTCGCGCGCCGCCCGCATCTTGTGGCGTTAAAAACGACGGACGGGTGCTGCTGGTAATACCCGGGGCCTCTCCATCAATCTGCGTGATCCACTCTTCTTCGTTGAAGACACCCGTCTGCTTCAGCCCCCATGCGTTCTCGATTGCGTCCCATCGCTCCTTCGCAACGGAGTTGCCCGCCTTTACATGTGCCTTTATCGTCTCGAAGTGACGGTCAAGAATTAGACGTCGTTGTTTCAACTCCGAGA